TCTAAGAGGTTAAAGTCAACACACGTAGAGCTTCTAGGAATGCGTTTGGACATGAGATTTGATCGTGTTTGAAAATTCCATGTTAATATGTGTGCGTTTCGTCCATATACTTAGGGAGGGTCAAAGTAGATTTCTTGGGCTAAAACCTTCCTTAGAAACAACGTTGTGTGGGGTCCAGTACTATATACCGTATCTCCTGCTATGACACAAATTACTATATTTTTTAAGTAACAGTGATTCCCACCCAGGGTCCTTGAAACATTTTTTTAAAAGACTCCCTTACTTCCCCCCCCGCACCATTTCCCCTCCCCGCTAGTCCAAGAGTTTAGTGATTTACACTAGACCAGTGGTGGATGAAGTAGTGGGAGTTAACCAGAGCCGGCCTCACCAGCCAAATAACCAATCCCACTGTCACTCAGTCACTTCTACCTCATGGGAGCCTACAGTGAATTTCTGAGACTATAAATCTTTCTCTCCTGTGGAGAGGCTAGTGGTTTGAACTGCTGACCTAACGCCCAAGCCACAGATCTGTAGTAGGTGAAAAATCAAACCTACCACAAAGGTAATCTTCCTTGCATTTGTCAAACTGGACCGACACTTGCAAATTACAAATAAAAGTTTAACATGAACTTTTTACGTTATAGTAAAGAAACCTAACTTCACTGAATCAAGTCTTTCTAAAGTAATTTCACATGTGAAAGATCTTCAGAGAATATTTTGAGAAATATCACTATGGGGGTAAAATAAAAAAACCTGAAGTCTTTGCCTTCCTGTCCCATAGGGCTACCAAGGCCATACACCTTTCCAGAAGATAGCTGCCATAATCATTCTTCCATGGAGCTGCTGGTGGGTTTGGACAGCTCAACTTTTGATTAACAACCAAGCACTGAACCACTGAGTCACTAAGCCTCCTTCACTGTAGGCCGAGGGTCAGAAGACCATGCTGTCAGCAGCCCATTTTTTTACACCTTAAGGAAGCCAGAGTACTTTCTACAACTTGAAAGGGCTGTAAACATAAAAGAGAATATGCAATAAAGACTATACATGTTCCTTGAAGGCTGAAATCATACAATTTGGCTCCTTACAGGAAATATTTGCTGGATCCTAGTATTGAGTTGAACTGTGTCTCCTTGCCATTATAACCCTTAGAGATAAGATTACTATAGGAGTGGTTTAGATTAGGCCCTAATCCAGTTGCTGGTGTCTTGAAGCCTCCTATCCTCAGGAAGTGACCAGAGCCAATGCAATCAACCCTATGACAGCATCTGCTGTGAGCAGCCAAGCAGTGGAAAGAAGAGTCATTCGGGTGGTGAATTCAATTGTTACTCAGGTCACAACCTTGATGGAACTGAAAGGAGGTTCCCATGGAAGTGTGACCTATTGCAGTTATGTGCCCAATGTTACAGTCGCTATGTCAATCCATCTTGTCAAGGGTCTTCCTCCCTTTTACTTTATCAAGCCTGATATCCTTTACAAGGAGTTCTGGTGGCTACATGTTGGGCTGCTAACCACTGGATCAGCAGTTCAAAACCAGCAGCTGGTCTAAAGGAGAACGATGAGGCTGCCTACTCCCATTATGAATGAGAATTCACTGATGACAGTGAGTTTAGGTTTTGTTTTGTTTTTAGTCTCTGATAACATAGCCCAAGTACTTCAGACAAGGTCTCCACCTCTTCACTTTCAAGATCCTTCATTAGCATAAGAATTCAATTGCATTATTTTTCTTCAGTCTTCCTTATACAGTGCCCAGCTTTCATATGAACCCGAAATGAGGGAATGGAAAATACTATGGCCTGGGGCATGCATACCTTAGTCCTCAAAGTAACCGTCCTGCTTTTCAACACTCTAAAAAGGGTTTGGCAGCAAATTGACCTAATGGAATACATCTTTTGATCTCTTGACTGTTGCTTCCATGAGCACTGATTATGGACACAAGCAAGATGAAATCTTAGACAATTTGAATCTTCAAAGTTATCCGCTTGCTTTTCAACACTTCTTAAAGAAGTCTTGTGCAGCAGACTTATCCAATGTAATATGTCCTTTGGTCTCTTGACTACTGCTTTCATGAGCGCTGATTGTGACTGCAAGCAAAATGAAATCCTTCGACAATTTCGATCTTTTCTCCATTTAGGATTTTGGTTTTCTTTTCATTGAGTTGTAAGCCATATTAAAGCCATATTAAAGTTACAATCCTTATGCAATGTTTCAAACCTTCCTCACTTTCAGCAAGTGAGGTTGTGTCATCTGCATATCATTCATTCATATTATACATTCATATACTGTCTACAATGGGTTGACAATACAAACTGAGTTGAGGTTGTCACAACCTTTAGGTTGTCTAAAGGTTCTCCTTTAGACCAGCTGCTGGTTTTGAACTGCTGATCTAGTGGTTAGCAGCCCAACATGTAGCCACCAGAACTCCTTATAAAGGATATCAGACTTGATATGGCCCACAATGTCTTTACAGAAAATGGGACCCCAACTGTGGCAGTACACAGAAAGGGGGGGGGTGTAGAAGTTTTGAGGTTCTGGAGAATATTATGTATTTTTCAAATTCCTTGGGCTCCATTATTATGGAATCATTCCTCAATCTTTTGTATTTCATGATTTTTGCCTGTTCATGGCGATCAAATTTCACTCAGGGCTTTTTTTTTTTTTTTAAGCTCAGGGATTTTTGACGAGAAGACTATTGACATGATACTGCCCCCTTCTAAGATGCACACAGCATCTACTGGTCCATTACTGGAAATGTTCATTTGGGTCACATGTTACAGTGTTGTCTGCCATGCTTCAACACCTTCTACACTGTAGCATCACTATTTTTCTCCATGAAAATAGAGTATTTTATGAGGAGAAACTACTTTGAGACTACAGAAGTAGCTTATTTCTTGTGAAATTTGAACCCAACAGTGTAAGCATCCATTGATGATTGTTGCCTGAAATAATTACCACTGTGGTGGTTGCCAAGCAGCAATTCATTATTCACTAGACAAATTTTACATGGTATCCCCCCTTCAGCAAAGAAAAGCTACTCCCACTTACTGATTCATTTATCTCAAAACAGACTTCTTAACTTTATTCTATAAATTTTGAGCTAGTGCTACCATTATTTATTGATCCTCAAATTGCTCTGTTTTGACCAGTAGAAGCCCATTCAAACCGGCTCCTGTGTCCTGCTGACTTGTCCCCATCATGCCTTGAGTTTAATAACTTTTTGAGGGGGGAGCGGGGAGGGAGGGGAAAAAATGAGGACCTGATACCAGGGGCTTAAGTGGAGAGCAAATGTTTTGAGAATGATGAGGGCAATGAATGTACAAATGTGCTTTACACAATTGATGTATGTATGGATTGTGATAAAAGTTGTATGAGCCTCTAATAAAACGATTTAAAAAAATAAATAAACAACTTTTTGAAAGAGTAGCAGCCATTTGGAAGCCACCTAAGTGGAAGTCAATGTGAAATAAAGAGTAATGTGAAATCCATGGAAAATCATAGAGCCATTAAGGACAACAAGGCAGAAGGTGCTCTGGAGACTATGGTTAAAAGGTCCAGCAACAACAAAGTATGAGTCATTTAGACTTAATTTAAAATTAAAAGAGCTATGTACCTACATATGCATACAACTTTCTTAAAAGACACCCATGCAAGGGTAAAATTAACTCTAGGAATTGAACTATTAAAGTATATCTATCTATTCTACCAGTTAGAAATTTTACTAACATGATCTTTTTTTTACTAACATTTTCAAAACTATTATTTTTATAGTTAAACGTTCTGTATTCAAAATGCCTATTTTAAAATGAATGTATATATAAAAGTCAGCCATATAATTAGTACACAGTACAAAATTTATGAGCAATCAAAAAGTATTGCTACAACAGCAAACAAACCTTTATTAATCAAAATGTGAAGCTGCTGTTTCCTGACCTAGCACGCTTCTAGGTGTGTGCACTTCTGATGGCCCTTGTCTCCAATCTTTCTAACACTTCCCAAAGAAAACAATACTCTTTTTATTTAAGTCTTAGCAAAATAGCAGTAATGGCGTACATTCTCATGGGACTAGACTTGTGTTTTCACTGTTCTTGGGTTTGGGGACCAGAAAGGAGTCTGAAGGAACAGTCTTTAGGTTGAAATATGGATGAAGTAAAGTTTCCCAATGAAATGTTCATAGTGTAGCCTGGCTACCCTTAAAGAATTAGCAGGCACATTATTGTGATGGAAGAACCTTCCTTGGTGTAATTTTCCTGGCCTTTTCTTACCAATACAGTCTTCAACTTTTAAGACAATTCCATGTAAGTCTCTGTGGTGATCCACTGTCCTTTGGGGAAAAAATCTGCCAAAACTACCCCTTTGGAATCCCCTCACCTGCGGTCCGTGTCCCCTCCCCCCCCACCGCGTGCCAAAAAAAGGTGGTTGCCATAACATTCTGGGCTGACCTCCCGCCTTGAATTTATAGAGTTCAGAAGATCACTTTTTTTGTTAAGACACCCTAATGGAACTAAGGCATGTGTACTACTGAGAGAACTTGTGTGCAGCCATGCACTGATCAGAGGTGTGTTTAAACATGCCTTCTTTGGAATAAACCCATGCGTGCACAAACTGGAACCCTAGTAGCAATACTTTGTCCTTACTCTCAAATTTTCAGTAAAAATGAAAATTTTCTGAGCAAAACTTTTGTGTTTTTAAAATACTTTACTAAAAGCAATTTATTAAATATATTTCAAATTCCACCTGTAGTCAACAAAATTTGACTAGTTAAATGCAACCAGATATAAAAAGCTTTTACATTGTAACCCATATTTTATTTACCATATAATTCTCAAGATGAATACTTTAAAGGGTTTCATTTTCCCTTTTAAACTATATCCTCGTACACTCTGTTTTTGGTGTATTTTTCAGTGAGAATAAGCTTAGGAGCATCTTATCTGGTTGTTTCTAAAACGGAAGGGCCTCCGTCTCTAGGAAACAGTCGCACAAAAGCAGACTAATACAATGCTTACCTAGTGAGTCGCTTAGGTTGAGGCCGCTCACCAAATTTCCTGGAAGAAATAAGAAAAGAAAACAAAAAAACTAAATAAAATGTATGACACAATTCCCAGTAAGGTTGTCTGGTACCATTTAGTCTGTTTAATGACTTACACTTCAAGCTTACAGAAAACCCATGACAAAAGGAGTACTCACATAAACATCTGTACCCAGAAAGAAAAAGCATAAATGAGGGGGCTTCAAAAAGTTCATGGGGTGGGGCGGTGGTGGGGGAGACACCATTGTATTTTCATCCCTGAACCTCTAAAGCTCCCTCATATGTACTTTAAAATGGTTCTTAAAGCCAATACACCCTAGAAAGCCCTTATGCCCACTCTCAGAAAGGAGCACACTCGTTAGATGAGGAGACCAATAGCCTCAAGAGATACTTCTCAAAAAACCCTACCCCCTCCCCGGCAATGAGAAAGTCAATAGCACTTTGAAAAACCCTCAATGCCATGAGGTGGGGTGGAGCACACCTGGGCTTGACTCCTGAAGAAACCTTAAGTCACATCCTAGGGGATCCAGATCTCAAAATCATCATTGCATCTGAATAGGCATGTTTCCCAGCCTGTCTGCTACAGAATCGCACAGTCCCTCAACAGAAACCAGGAGTAAATAAAACACAATATCCAAAAATGAGAACATTTCACTAACAGCATTACAAAGAGTAAAACACAAATTTAAATTTACGTTACATGAAAATGTTAGCTAGTTAATGCTACCAGTCTCACAATGGGAAGCACACACAAGAAGAAAAGCTTAGGCTGGTGGCATTATGTTGACAACTTTAGACTTCACCAAATCGACAGTGTGACAGAAAGGCTCAGCGCCCAAGCCCCAGTTTACTAGGAAATACCTTCCAAGCATCTGTCCTTAATTTACTCAGCTGTGAAGCCAAGGGATTTCTGTGGTTAAGTCCCTAAGTGTCAAGGGCCTACCATGCCCTACACACCCTTGTACACATTATCCAAGGCTTTAGAATTCAAGTTTTCTACGTGTTATTTACACATAGAGATGTAATTGTACAACACTGTAACAACTATAACAACAAAACTACACCCCAAGGGGGGGGGGGATCTTATTCTGACCTAGTATGCTAACTAAGAAGGTAGCAAAGATATTTTATTCACTAAACAACTATTTCTTGAATATTCATCTGTGTAAAACGTGTGCTGGCTTCTGTCAGATGCAGATGTTCCCAAAATTCTGATGAAGGCGTGTGACAAGAGGAGATGGGGGTGGCGGTGGCAGCTATTAACAGCAGCAGTTACCACTGACAAATGTTTATCATATGCTAGACACTGTGCTGCACTTTTTTACTTTATCCTTATCCTATTTAATTCTTACCAACTACTCCTACTGGGAGCCTAACAGCTTCACTTTGAAGATGGGTAAAGCAACTTGAACAATATCACAAAATATATGGCACTCAATGTTGCGAATGAAACCTAGATGCTGACTGCTTAACTCGTCTATAGTTCAGGGCCCATAAAAGACATATGCTAAATGGACTAGAAAGAGATAAGAAGCATTCAATACTCAAATATAATTTTTTTCCTTTGGTGTCCTAAAATTCTTTCAAACTTGGATTATCAACTAAACATTAACTAAAATGTTTTTGTATCCTTTGGGGGAAGAAATTCATTAAATTAAATTAACAATTACTCTTAAATAAAACTTTTTCCCTGAGTAGGCATATGGCATATTGATAAAACATGAATTCTTACTTACCTTTGAAACACCCCCACTCCTTTTGGTCTTTAGGAGAACATTTACTTTTATCTTGAACAGGGCAAGGGTTTGAAACACCCCCACTCCTTTTGGTCTTTAAGAGAACATTTACTTTTATCTTGAACAGGGCAAGGGTTTGAAACACCCCCACCCCTTTTGGTCTTTAAGAGAACATTTACTTTTATCTTGAACAGGGCAAGGGAAAGACAAAGGCTTATCATCCAGGTGGGGATATCAGTCGCATAGGAAGGCCTTTTAATTTCATAAAATACCTAAATTAATCCCTCACTTGTGACAACAACAACAAATCACTACTGCCCGATTTATCTTTTTTGATAATTATAAAACTATCTCATCCATGTAAGTAGGTTTCTCAATACTATGCATACCATGCAAAATCTAGTTTCATTTAAATGTAATCATCAATCCGGATGCATTTAGGGAATAAAAGTTAAGATCCTGGACTCTTTTTTACTTTAAATAACAATAAAAAATTTGTTAGTATTCTTGTTTATATCTTAACCCACACCTTCCCCTCCCTCCCTATACAGCTGTCTCTCAGATGAGTGGAAACAAATGAATGGTAACCATCTACTGACCATCATTACCAGTAATGCTCACAAGGTACTTACATTGTACAGAGGTCATTAACTTCAAAACTAGCATACTCGACACTTAAACTCACCAGCTAGCCCTTTCTCACAACGCTATTGGTCCAAGGGCTTCCGTGTGAAGCCATCAGCGTTGCTAGGAGTAAGCACCTAAATCCATCTTCATGTACTGGGAAGCAGGCACGTTTTTAAAAGATGCAGTCTCAAGTTAAACACAGTACTTCCTACCTGTAAATGAACTCGCGTGAATGGGGCTCCCACATTCCCTCCGATTCCATTCCAATTTTCAAGTGAATAAACACTATATACACAATACACTCATATGCACACACTTCCTTTCTGCCCATAGGGGAGGCACAATATTGTTTTCTCCTCAGGAGATGATGTATTTGTTTCGATAATCACCTATCTGCCAAGGAAGTCTTCAACCACAAAAGTATTGAGGATGAGCATGATAAAAGTTATCAAAACCTCAGCATCTTAACACCTTTTCTGGCTAAAGAATCCTTCCCATGAGAAAACCAAGTCAAAAATTAAAAATGGGGGGAAAATGCAAGAAAAATTTTTTCTAACTGTAGAACTTAATGACTATCGCTTCAAAACAAAAGGTCGAAGCAGAATATTGTCTACAACCAATACAAGTACCAGAGCTTGAATTCTAAAAGTATAGACTTAGCTGGCTTGAAAACTAAGCTCCAATCGTAAAACAAATTCCTTCTGTCTTTGGGTTGTGGAGCTAGCATGATTTGAACTAATGATCGTTTTTTTAAAAAAATAGGCAGGGAAACATTCATAGTGTTTGCAGGGAAGAACACGAAAGGCACAAAAACTCCACAAACTCTTAATTAAACCAAACTTTATACCAAATCTGCTGGAATAATCAATATATCTTAAATATAGTTCAAACGGACTGGAATTCCTAAACCAGACAAGATAGTGCTGGAGCGTGGAAATTGAGGAGAGCTAATCCATTCCCTCAAGGTATTTACTTATCAGTAGGTAGGAACAAAGAAATGGTATCTATTACTATTAACATCACTGAAAACATAATACAAAAAGCACTGGGTACTGGGGTACTGTATAATAGTAATTTACTCATGAAACATGAGAGGCTCTTTAGAAAGGTAACATGGAAAAACCTTAAAAGGAGCAAGAAGGGTGGAAAGATTCCATCAGGGGCAGTTGGTTGGAGCCCCCATCTCCAGCTATAATCCTTTACTTGTCTCCACTATGATTACCAGATCTGGTTAAGAGAGCCTGCCCAAAATCCCCACCTGAGGAAGGACTTTCCCAGCTGAAATCTGCCATAGCCATAACCTAACAGACTTGCCAGAATACTAGTAGCTGGTATCATTATTGCATTGGAAGACTTTTTATGGGAGGAAAATTGCGCATCTTAAAATCCCTGGTCTCAAAATGGGGACAGCAATCAGACTTTGGACAAATATCTCCAATTTCATGTAGCCAAGAAAATGAACAGGATATATTAGCATCACCTGTTTCCTCATCTAAGTCCTTGTAAAAACTCAAAAGTGTTTTTGTGATCACTGCCCAAATGCAAACCTGACTCTACACTTGCAGAAACATGAGACAAACCCAAATCAACCAATCAACAAAAGCAGTGAACTGTCTTTTTCAATGTCAACATATGAATGACAAAGATGATTGAAACATATTAACAATTGAATACAACCTATCATCCAGAATTTGCTGTTGCCAAAGAAGGCATTATTTAGAAAACGACCAAATCTGAACAAGACCTGTGGGTTACATAATAGGATGCCAATTTTAATTTTCTAGTTTTGATCATTGTACTGTGGTTTGTAAGAGAATGCCCTTGCGTAGATGAAAAATTATTCATTCTATCTTACCATGAAATGATTCTGAATAAGATACATCAAATAAAAAATTTAAAAGTTCATCTACCTTGGCATATGTGCACAGGTACGTTTGCATGTGGAAACTTGGAGCGTATTATATCAAAATGATAGACCACACCCGCAGAAGCACCCATCTTCATCAAGATAGCGGCCTCACCCTGCTTTTCAGAGGAACCTAGAGGTGGCAAAACTGTCAAAGCACTCAAGGGAGGTGGCACATCAAAGACTGGCCAACTTCCTAGTATAGCTTTTATGTCCACACTGCAATTATTTAAGAACTTCTTGCTGTAGATTTAAAGTTTGATAACAGCACCAGCATACACCAGTGTTGGTTTACAACTGATGAAAAAGAAGTACTGACTCAATGCTAGAGAAACTTTTAAATCCATGCAATTCAAACTGCATCAAAAACTATTGAAATTTAATAATTTAATAAATTCAATAATTTAAAACTATGCAAAACGATACATGGAAAAAATGGTCGATAAACAAACAAACCCAAAAAACTTTTTATAAACCAATAAACCTTTAAAATTCGTGTGAAAAATATGGGACAGATACTAAGCAACAATGAGCTCAGACATAGCTGTGAGGATGGCACAGGACCCAAAACTGTTGCTGTTGGTGTACACAGGGCCACTTTGAGTCTGAGGCCACATAACAATTGGCTACATGGCACTTTCCAGTTACATCTATAAAACCAAAGCCAGTGCTATGAGTTGGTTCTGACTCATGATGAAATTTTTCCTAGAATCTATACCTCCTCCATAGGAAGGCTGACCCAAGCAG